AAATTCCGTATGAAAAATAGTATTAATTCAACGTAGAAAAAAATTTTGCAAAAAGACTCATTACAAAACCAGTGTGGATTTGACCAAAATATTACAACATACATTTATCGAAATACCATCCAACTAAAATATCTTCAGCGTTACCAGATTGCGTTGGTCACAAATTCGTAATTTTAAGAAATAATTGTTTTAAAAAATTGGGAGAAATAAAATTAAAAAAAAGAATTGCAGTAATTTGGGTAAATTTTTTAATAGGTTTGGTATTTGTACCAATTAAAGTGGCAAAAGAAAAAGTGCAAGAGAAATAAAAAATTGGAAGGGTTTTTTATTATCGTTTCGTCATTCGCTCTGTGGTTATATGTTATAACGTAGTAAAAATCAACACATGTTTGTGTTTGGATAAAAGTGAAGAAATCGTATCGTATCCAAAAAAATTTACATTTGGGTGAAAATTAAAAATTGTACCTGACAACACTGACCTCTTTATTTTTAATTTTTTTTAATTTAAAATTAATAAAGAAATTCTTCTTATTAAGGTATCATAAATAATAAAAAAAGAATTCGGTACCAATAATATCTATATTATAAAAATAGTTCCCAGAATTCCCCAATGCAGTTTATATATTTTGTTTTGCTTTAAGGGCAACACTATACTACGCATACGATCACTTTAGACCGGTGACATTTGTAAATGAAAACAAATGAAGTACGACAAAATCGATACCATCGGACAGATAACTCTATTTGAAATTCCAATCACATGTAGGTACTGTAACTAGCAACTAGTAATACGTAGGTACTGTATATATTCTATAGGCATATATTAGGGCAGGCCAGTGACAGTTCAATAAATATATATGAATGAAAGATGTAATGCCTACTATATATACACTCATTTTTGCAATTTCCAATAAATAAAATTTCTAATAAATAATTATTTAATAACCAAGTTAAACCCCAAAGCCTAGGATGTCAGTGGTGGTTTCACGTGGTTTTATTTCATTTTTCTAATACCTCGTCAGCGTAATCTATTAGTATGAGCGAGTTAAAGTACAAACTATTACATTATCAACATGCGATTGCAGTCGCTTTAAATTAGACAGACCATCAGCTTATTTGTCATTCTAATTTGCATAAGAAAATTACAAATTAAATATTATTAATTGCTGTGCAGTCGTAGCTTAGAATGGGCCATTCCTTTCTTTCCCGTGGGTGTCGTAAGAAACGACTAAGGGTACTTAATGGTCGAGGAATAGGAAGCAGCGTCCCTCTTAAAACGTGTCCAATTCCTAACTGCGGTTGCCAACCCCGCTAAGCGTGGCAACTACTGAGAAAACCCTCCAATATAGAAAGGACTATGTTCAACAGTGCAGTTATCGGCATATATATGTTATGGTATTGTATGGTATATTGCTGATATTTTTAACTTCTGGTTCCTTAAATTTAAAACATGAAAAGAACCGACTAAAAACGTGTCCAACACGTCCTCAAAAATATTCCATAGAATAATAATGTTCTTAATTAATAAAAATGTATTTCTTCATACTTTATATCTTAAATTTAAAGTAACTTGCAAAAATTATATTGTGACAAGAAACAAGAACTCGAGCGCGATTGATTTATACTAAGGTCTCCGTTTTGACATTTAAGCACAGAACCGTAGAGTTCAACCGTAGATACTTATTCATAAAAGTTGAATTAAGATACCTTAAAACTTTGTAATTTTGTTTCGCATTGTTTCAAGGCGAGCAACCGCTATGAGAAAACCAAAAAGCGCGCCAAACTTATGTTATCGCGACAGTATATTCAAATTGAAACATATTGGATATTAGCAAAGTTTACAGAATATATTTCGTCTTGAGTATATCTTTGAGTAGTTTTACTACATCTATTATAATGATACATAAAACAAAACTATTAAGCTGAAATTAGACAACGTACAACGTTATTTACTTAGACGATTCATCAATCACTTGATTCATTTTTTTAAATGTGCATGCGTTCTTACAGAAAAAAATTACATTCTCGATGTTTAGGCATGTCACTTGTTATCCGTTTTGTATCATTCATTATCGATGAATGATGACTGATGCAAAAGTAAAATCAACCGAACTTAGAAATTTTAATCGCGAAGATATAAGTGAACGATAAAATATGGTTTTGAATAAACATTTTCATTTTCGATGAAGTCAAGAAAAAAAGAGCCGAAATGATCGGTCAAATTTTGACTTATTTCATCGTCTAAATAATATTTCCAATAAGTTAAGCTCATCGTTTAATTATTATTCATCATATAATGATAGGTCCTAAGCATATCGCGATAAAAATCATGATTTTAAAGTAGAAAGTTAGAACTAAAGAAAAATACATTCGTAATGGCATTAACTTTGAATGTTATTAAAAAAAGTACTAACTGTTACTTCTTTATCCCATATGGTACATGTATGCCAAATTCCATAGCGATTGATTAAACCATTAGGACACTAAAAGAGAACAAAGGATCAATCAAACTCACTTAAATAATTTATTATATACATTAACTTTACGCGAAGCACATTCCATTAAACGACATACTTCTGCTGTATCAAATCGCAGCTCAAGTTTGTAACAACAAATAAACACAAGTGTGCGTCAGAAATATAAATAAGAAAAACAGCGAAACAAATAAAAAAAAACTCACTTTTACATTTGTAAGGATTATAGCAATTATTAAAGCAGTTATAGCACCCAAGATCCAGACATATTTACGTCATCATCTCAGCCATTCACATGATATACTATTGAACATAGGCCGATCCTAAACTACATACACTTAAAGTCATAACTCAATCTAGCTTAAAGTCGCACTAAACTATAACATAAATACATACATATCTACACCATTCGAAAGTAGATATATATGTTTTTCAGTCAATAAGTACCCACACCTTAATTGTTTATCACCACCATTCGCTCTATTCTAATATTGTAAAAAGGAAAGATGTAATAATATATATATATATATATATATATATATATAATGTATCTCTAAAAATATATATATATATATATATATATATATATATATATATATATATATATATGTATCTCTAAAAAAATGTCATATTGATGTCACTGCGAAATTTTTATTGTAAGGGCCAATATGAACAATTTTTTAAGAGATTCAATATCATTATAAATTCAGTTCATGATGGTCGATAAAATAGTAATTTTGCGAAATAATTGAATTAATAGGTTAAGAAATAGATTAAGAGAAATGGTGCCTCAGAATCGAGCCCATTATGAGCGAGTACAGTAATATAGCCTAATGTATTACTTTTTTATTTACCTGTGCGAATCCAGGGTAAATTGCTAGTATAGCATAATTAGATAACTACCATTATGTATCATATATACAGATTTATAAAGAGGATGAGTAGGTAATTGTTACCGCTTTTTTCCGGGAGCCTTTTTTACTATTCAATTCATAATGGTCCGTTTTACCGTCATTCATCAAAATTAATTGCTTTTACTGACTAAAATAACAACGACATAGTCTAAAAGTGTATAATACATAGTATCAAATTTCTATAATACTAGTTGAATAGCACAACTTTACCTTTGTCAAATGAGATAAAGAGTAGTGTACTAGTAGGATATTCAAATCACTAATATAAATACTAATATAATAAATTGTAACTAAATGACGTCAGTAATAGAAGACATTTAAGGAAAATTTATATAAAGGGTATTATTAAATTTAGTACTATACCATAACAATAATATTTAGAAATTTTGTCTGTCTGTATATATGTATATTTATTCTGGCATCACGCAAAAACCACTGCACCAAATTGGATGCGATTGTGTTTCGAAAGGTTTAACTTATAATATAATGTACTGTATATTTTATCTTGATACGCTGTTTAGAAGTGATCTTTTTAATTAGTTTTGCTACTTCCTAGTATTATATTATTTGTGCTACTTCTAAAATCCCATACGTACGAAGTAACGAAAAGTTAGTATGGAATAATTATGTCTGTTTACCAAATTATATAATTTCGTTGTCACCGAATGAAATTATTCTTTTTGTTTCGTATTCTTATGCAAGAAGATATGGATTTCACTTTCATAAATATAAAAATTTGTAAATAGTTTACATGTTTAAATGTTTGTTAGTCAAACACGCTTAAACGGCTGAACGGATTTGAACGAAATCCTATTTATATCCTATTTATTATCCTACTCTAACATATATCCTAACAACACATAGACTTACTGTACTTATACAATTGTATCGTTATATTTGGTTTCTTGCTTATTTCCTATATAGTATAATGCAAAAAAAGTATACCCATTCATTCATAAACATAGAATATAGTGTATAAAGTATACTATTTCACACGGACGTAGTTGTGTGAAACGGCTACTTTTTCTACAAATCTTAGCCAAAAGTAACGCCATGAAACTTCAAACGAAAATTCCACCAAAACTCTTTCATAATTCTGTATCACTTTCCAAAAAATTAAAACAACTGCAAAGCTCTTACGATTAAATAATTTATTCAAACGTTTAAGAATTTAGAGATTTCCAATATCCACCTAACCTGAAAGGGCTTATGTAAATTAATTCTTATCCTAGATCGAAATTAGAAATTCCATTAGCATTTGTTTAATTTTATTGATATTATAGATAAGTAGGTCAATTAAAAAAATGGAAAGGCTTCGTGTTTATATCGGATAAGGATAACAGTTTAGTCTTCAGAACAACGCCTGGAAAATTCCATGGGCATCACAGTGTATTTTGTGATCCATTGTATTGTTCATTACAATAAGCAGCGGTTACCATTTTCTATCAAGTGGGCTATCAGCTTATTTGACATTCCAAGTACCAAAAGAACTTCCCTATATCAATAAATCCATGCGTACGTCTACTATCAACAAAATACGAACCGCAAGTTTCGATTTTCATGTAAAACTGAACGGAAATATATTGTTACAAGTGAATTTATATGTTCCCAGTTGTCAGCAAGTGGGGAGCCGGGTAGCGGCGCGGTGGATGCGGTCGCGAGACGGTACCGCCTCGAAAACGGGAACTCCCTCGGAGAAAAGGACGAGGTAAGTACACACCAAAATTTTACTTTATAACACTTTTATAAATTTATTTACTTACATATGACGTCGCAAATATGAAGACGATATGAAGATAAATTTTAAGTTTAAATTCTTTATATTTGTTTAACACAAATTCAAGATATTTCATCTTATAAAGTTGTGGTTTCTGTAAACAAATAATGTATATATATTCATCTTACAGACACTTATAAACAGCATCACTTCTTTTTCTATAAAGTAAGCTAAAAGTACTTTTTTTATATACAACTTAGAATGGCAAACAAGCTGACGGCCCACCTGATGGAAAGTGGTAATCGTCGCCTATAGACATGAGCAGTACCATGGATATAATAGAGTATACTGTTTCGCCCATGATACCCCCATGCGTTGCCATTCCTGAGTGTTATTCAGGTGTTATTCCACTGTACCCAGTAAATTTACGCCATATACCACCCTTCAAACCGAAAGACAGCCATGCAAACAAAACTGCTTCACGGTAAAAACATGAATGGGACAGAGGTACCCAAGCAATCGACTTTTGTACAAAGTCTCCTTCTGGTAACATAAGCACTTACTTATTTCACCTTTTTCATTTGATCTGGCGGCACAGACTTGACAGAGATGTTTTTTTTTCTGGTGTACATTTTCCTTCATCCCCACTATCTCGATTGCTCGCCTCCCACATTTCTTGTTATATAATTTCTATTTTTCTACTCTACCTTTTCTGTTACTGTACAACCACAAAATCATAACATCTATTTACCAGTCCTAAAAGGACTAAAATAAAAACTATAACTTCAATGTTCATCCAGCCTCTTTCCACCTTTATCTACCTAAATAATAATAAATTTGCAGAAAAATTGAATTAAATTATACAATAGTACCTGATAGTACTTATAACGTCTAATAGCAAAGCTATATTGATAACTGTAAGGCATATATACGTAGCGTAATTGTTTTTTTTTTTTTAATATTTATACTTGTATTTATGTTTATATATTATTTATAAATAAATAACATATTCAAGATTACACCTAAGTATATGACCACAGATAACTGTGCAAAACCTCCCAATGGTAAATACTGTAGCTCGAAGAACCGATAACCGTTGGGGAAGAAAGGTTCTTGAGTGTCGACCCCATACGGGCAAACGCAGTCTAGGACGACCCCCTTCTAAATGGAGTGACGATTTGAAATGCATTGCAGAGAGTCAGCGGATGTAGGTGGCTCAGGACCGTTCTTTATAGCAGTCTGTGGGGGAGGCTAATGTCCAGCAATGGACGAATAATGGCTGAAATGATGATGATGACCACAGATAATATAATACTATACGGTATGACGGACGCTACATGTAAATATTTCATTTGGATTATTTCGAAGTTACATCATTTTGATCTTCATCCTTGAAATAGGACAAATTTAAGTAATTTATAAAAATGTGGCAATCCTTCGGGTCGGAAAATAACGCTCTTTTATCTGCAAATGACGGAAATGTCGTTGAGATGCCAAAATAATAATTGCCGAGGGGCTTGGAGCTTCAGGAAAATTATAAAAAAATGCTCACCGCCATCATTTAAATATCTAGAATATTATACAACCATCAATATAAGATGAAATAGATATTCTTTAGCATCCATTTCTTACCAAAGAAACTGAAGAACCTGCGTTGGTAGGACACCAATGAAACTGAACACTTTTTCCCTTTTTCATTTTTTATACCTACTCACGGCCACTTTCTAACATCGGGCAGCTTGCCGTCGCAGAAAATTCATCCCGTACCTTAGAGCCTAGATAGTCACGTACAGCGCGGTTTCAGAGATGTTTTCTCTTACGAATGCTCAGATTATCGAATGAGCTCCCTGTCGAGGTTTTCCAAAAGACATAGGTCATAAAAGGATCAAGAGTCGGCAACGCGCGCGTAATGCTCCTGTTATTACAGGCGTTCATAGCCTATGGTAACTGCTTACCGTCAGGTGGGCCGTATACTTATTTGGCACTTGAGTGGTATAAGAAACATATATGCAAACAACAGATTTTTTTTTACTTTCCATACTAACGTAACAATTGGACAACTTAAATTAGTATGAAATTTATGTAATTGTTCAAATCAAGTTTCTTTGGAAAAAAATGTTCAATATCATTGGTAGGTGCCAATAATTTTTTCAATCCGTATGTGTAGTTTATATGGCATAAACATGATGGTAACCACCATTAACAAACCAAATAAATCCGAATAATCGCTCTTACCATGTTAGATTCTTAAATTCTGGCAAATATTATAACAAATATTAGCTACATTCTCTATAATAATTAATAGTCAACTAATATATCTAACTACCCCACTTACATATATTGTTTTATTAAAAGAAAAAAATGTTTTAGACAAATTAAAAAAGTTTCACCAAAACAGGGAAACGATAGGCGTTTAAACAGATGGACAAATTATGTACGAGGTCTGTCCGGAAAGTTCGTATAAAAGTGTTCTGGAATGCGAGAAAGAGGAGTGGGGAGGCCAGGTAAGCGCAGGACCCCTTCCTTATGTCCCTAACAATGCTTCAGTTCTGGTCTGATCGCCGTGCGGTGCGAACTGGCTTGTCACGCCATCTGTGAAGTTACCTCTTAACGAAACCCCGTCGGCATGACTTTTTGAACCGAGTCATCACTGGAGATGAGTCTTGGTTCTACGAATTTGATGTCGAATTAAAATCCCAAAGCAAAGAGTGGAAGACATCCGGGGAACCACGAACAAAAAAATCAAGAAAATCCCGCTCAAATGTCAAGACAATGTTGATTGTTTTTTTCGATGTTCGGGGGATTGTCCATCAAGAATTCGTCCCTCCAGGCCAGACAGTTGATGGAAAATTCTACGTCGATGTGCTCAGATCAAAGCTCGTGTGGCACGAGTTCGTCCAGAATTGGCGCGAGAGGGGCGTTGGATTCTTCACCACGACAATGCCCCTGCCCACACCTCTCTTGTTGTCCGTGAGTTTTTGAGTAAAAATTCCATTACGGTGACCGAACACCCCCCTATTCGCCGGATTTGGCCCCGTGTGACTTCTTCTTGTTCCCAAAAACCAAATTGGTACTTCGGGGGCGGCATTTGGGGGACATAAATGAGATAAAAAAAGCTACGACGGGGCAGCTGAGAAACCTACAACCAGAGGACTTTCAAGGAGCCTTCTCACAGTGGAAACGGCGTTGGCACAAGTGCATTATGTCACAGGGGGAGCACTTTGAAGGGGATAAAATTGATTTACCTGAATAATTGTAAAATAAAATTTTTAAAAAACTTTTATACGTACTTTCCGGACAAACCTCGTATTACATTTTCTGTATAGACCGCGTTTTATGCCGTATCCTACATATTGGCATATAAGGTATTTCTTATCCGAATTCACATGGATAAAACCATGAAAAGTAACTAGTTTTAATATATAAATATTAGTGGAAATATTATTTAAATGACAGGTTTATGGCACTCTTAAAGTATTAGGTCCTGCCTCGGAAAAAATGGAAGGAACAAATTTTATGGCTACTTTATAAAAATGAGAGATTGATATCAGAGATTATGAACAAAATTCTACAATCCCTCCAAATGCCTTGTCCTCAAAATAGAATACCGGTATTATGAGTTTCTTATTTATTTGATTCAGATAACTTTGTTCTAACCTAATCCATCTCACTCTACCAAATAAATCACTGATATAATATTAATCCATGGGGATTTATGTATAAGTACTATTGTTCAGACGTATTTCTATATAATACATATCATATAATATATTAAATATCGTCTTTAACAATTTAGAACATGATATGATTTGTTTCGATGGTTTTTAAATATAGTATGGTTTATATATTTTCCTACAAATTCTGTACTTACGGATATCGCATACCTATATTAATCTGAAAAGTAGTTCTCTATTATTAACATTAACACCAGCGTACAGAACTCTATTAACGAAATTAAAAGAGTACTTTAACTTTCTCTATAGGGTATAGAACCTTAAAAACTTTCAATTTATTATAATGTACTTACTGTTTTTTAAAGTAAAGAGGCTATAAAGGTAAAAGGCTATAAAAAATCTAAATAATACATTTATTTTGTTTCGTTTGAGCATCTTTTGAAAGGTGTAGGTTGTTGTTAACTCTCCAGTTTTTTTTATGGTATAATAATATCTTTATAATAGTTTTTAAAATCAATAAGATTGACTCTACTGTCAGTTTCATATTAATTTTGTTATAAATAAAGCCGCTGATATTATACTCGAAGCAAAATCTTAAGTTACAATAATATTGCATTTCCCACGTTACAGAAGGGCCTATCTATGATGATACATATATTTCCTCTGTGCCATGGGAGCTCAGTATATTATTATTATTTAGACATTCTCATTTAATTTGTTACAGTTGTTTGGACCACCGAGTGCTCCAGTCCTTGAGAATCCCGAGTTCCAAACAAGATGGTACTTCAAGTATTTTCTTGGGAAAAGTAAGTCTTTTATCTTCTTTCGTGCTTTTAATTTGCTTTCGACCTTACTTTGGCAAAAAATAATAAAGGATAAAGGAAAAGAAACGTAGTTGTATTCACTTTGAGTGTAGATTAGATATTCTGAATCTTTTAACGGTATTGCTCACTAAAATAACACGCAAAGCTTTTTCAGTGTATTAGATTTATCTAATATCTGGGTTATAATAATAAATACAAAAACTTTTCTTTGTATGTGTATGTATGTATGTGTGTGTGTATATGTGCGTGTGTAAATTTTACACAGCAAAAATGACCCCAGGACTGGTAATAGAAAAAATATGACCTATCTTGTTGTATCGCTAATACCAAAAATCAAACAAAAATCTTCTTGACTTATTAGAATAGACATACAAATATGGACGCCACTTGCACTTCAACTTATATAAAACTTAACGTATTACTACCAAATGCAAATAACAAGATACTCCTTATACTCTAAGATCTTACAAAAGTTATTTATTAATAACTGACTCCTTCACACACATTAAACACTTCGAATGATATCATCTTTAAAGTAGACGTTAATTTTTCAAACCTTTTTCAATATAAATTTTGTGTAGGGCCTCCAAAACTGAAAATCAGTTGTCGCTGATTTTGAGATTTGCTGCTCGTACAGGAACTTTAAGCTGAATTAGCATCCTTTTTCATTTCCACGACACTGACCAAAATTCAACTGACATTTATAGATATTATCATGATAACATCTATAAATCTTTGCTTATATTATAATAAGTTATTTTTACTTGTAGCTCTAGTATTTCATACATATATGTAAATATGTATGTGAATTAATGAAATAAAAGTCTATTTTAGAATCAATTAGAATCTGTTGGACTCCTTTTAAAACACGCACACATACAAAATTAGTACTCTTCCTTCTTCTTGATATCACTTAAAAATTATCACAGTACTTTGAGTAATTTCAGTTACAGTATTTCATTATATGAATACATTCTAACATAAAACCTATTTAAAATGTAATATTTTATTTGAAATATCTCCAGTTTTTTAATGTCTGATATATGTTTTTATACACATATCTACTATTAGAAATAGAATATAAGCTGACGACTCACCTATTAGAAAATAGTACGTAATAAATTATATCCTACACAAATAACTTAAAAAACATCACAGAAACTTTAAAATAAGTCAGCTTAAAAATTGAAGTAAAATTCCAAGAAGTAACAACATATATGAAGAAAAATTATAAGTAGAATAAATATAGTTATATAACAACACACTATCAGCTAATAAAAGTGGCATAACAACCCAAGCAAACTTGTTTACTGTACCTAATAAAATTTACTAGGACCCATAGCCAAAGAGTGCAATTACTTAAGATAAAAATTCCAGTAAGTGCCGTGAAACAAAGTGTGTCATCTTTTATTCACTTCCACAGTATATAAACAAACATACATTCGGCTGTACCGCTATATCATGAATTATTGATAGACAAATAGGTCTAGTGTACTAAATTAAATGCAATTGTTTTGACCTTTTGCTCTCCGTTTCATCAAATCATCTTCAGAAATGCGGCAAACTGGGAAGGAAATTGCGAAACAATTCTCATTTCCTTTTGCTGTTATGTCGTGTACGAACTTCCTTCAAATATTAAATTTCCTACTAAACTTAATATAATCTCTATCTATAAATCTTCACGCTCTCCGGATCACTTGTTATATAATAGAATAAGTAGGAAGGATCGAATACCAACAATCCTATGTCCATACTGAAATCCTAATACTATTATAAACGCAAAAGTTTGTGATGTAATAATAGATGTCGCAGGCTTAAACGGCTTTAACATTACAAAGACGAAAGTTTGCAAGGATAGATGGGTTTTTGTTCTTTGACGTAAAAACTACTGAATAGATTTGAATGAAATTTGGTACATGGATAGTTTAAATCCTAACTTAACACATAAGATACTTTATATACTCCGCGCGGGCAAAGTTGCGGAAAAAAGCTAATCGTCACTTAATATTTTTAATGTGAAAGTGCGTTTCTTTGTTTATTACCTTATAACGTCTTAACGTCTTAACCAATTATTATTAAATTTGGTTCACACATACTACGATATAGACTACTTTTTATGTTTTTTAAGCGAAACATATCCGATCACGCAGAAGAAGTCGCAAATAAAAGTTAGTATAAAATAAATTATGCTTACAATTGTAATTACAGATTAAGTACTGCAGAGATATTAGTCTGTTGTCGTTATGGTGAATATTGTATTTATTCAACTGGTTTATATTTCCTCAAACATATTTTGTTTTTCAAATTCAAAATGACAGAGCCTGCCGGCATTTATTGCTTATTATTATTTATTATCAGTATTTACCGACACTGCAGAATGAATGGAAATTTAAAAGATTTTTATTTTGAACTAAATTTGATTTTACAATTTGGTAGGTGCATAAGTTCATGTAAGGAGTAAACAATTAGGCCATATCGCTGACGTGTCTACTTCTTTACCTCCACCCATTTATATGGGGTCGACTTTCCGCGTCGTCATGCCAGATCCCTTTAGCCCGGACTGGTTCAACTTATTGATGTGGGGCTCAATCCAAGTCCTTTGATATAGTAGAGGTCTAAATTGCTCGGATATGGCTTACATATGACGTAAGTTATATAAAATTACATAATAAGCGTATGATTTGATTTTACACCGAATGCAGATTATCTATCTCTACAATGAGCTCGTAATACAATTGATAATTTTTTTCGTTTATGTGAAATATTGCTATTTTTACTATTCTTTACCTAAGTAACATGTTCATTTTCTTGTAGTCGAATCATACAATACATGTGTTGCATTTATATAAATGTTATATCTCAAATTTAAATTCAAATCCCTATTACATTTCTACTATAGAAATACTAATCCTCATATAAAATAAAATATCTATAACATGCTCTCATGTCACACAAATTATTATATGAACAGCGTAACATTAAATAGGTCAAGTGTTAAATATTATTAATAAGATATTTCATAAACAAGACTTCATTAATACATGCGTTAAACATATTATAAGACAGGCTTGTCAACGTAATGAGCAGTTGTGTTGTGCGTGCCACATATAAATTTGTACCCTCGACGTAATCAGTAGATCTAGCGTGTAAATCATAGGTTTCGCCCTATTTTAATAATATCTACACTGATACAGTTATTGTTGGTAAACGTCAACGAACTCTGTGAATGCGTGTCCTCTTCTGTGGAACAGTTACAAAATGTTTAAACTGTAATCAATAATGAAATTGATTTTGAGTCATCTTAATAGGTACAAGGTAAGAAAAATGTTTTTATAATGGAAGAAAAAAGAAATGGTAACCTTACCTGTGCTATCGTTATATATTGGCTGTTAGGATGAAAATAGATCAGTTGGCCCATCGTGACTAATTCATAAACCTCAATTCATGAAAACGTCAAACCTTTCATAAACTTATTTCAACTACCGTCTCTTTTCTTATACTAAATTTCTAATTTGAAAGAAAGTAAAAAACAGTAAATTTAAAATTTATTTGTAGGTTTTAATTTTTATGGATAAGGGGTAAGAATTAATGACGCTGAATTAATGATTTTTTTAGGGGGAACCGCCTGGAGATATAAAAAAAGTTATTCTGTAATTATTTGACAATAAAGTTTACATGCTATCTAGGTACGTATTAAATAGATAATAGATAAGAATACCGTATTTTTCAATTCCATTAACTCTACAAACAAATTACTTACTGTCTATAATTTGATTTCTAAAAGTAGCGTACCATGACCTCACATAAATAATACATATGTATGTATCGTTTGAAGCTTATTTATACCTACAATTTAATATGTATGTATTCAATTAACCAAGTGACCAAGATATAATTATAGATATTTTACATAGACTAACAATGGCGGACTAGCGTCTCAATTATTTATTTATTATAATGCATTCATGTACATACACATATAGAGTTGTTACAGTTAATTTATATTTATATGTGTGTGTCTGTTACACTATATCTTCATTAATTCAGAATAAAAATTAATCATTATTTATCATTCCCTTTTCTGATATCGCACCATGCGAATGGGTCAGCGATTGGATCCCTACATGGTAAACCGCCCGCGCTCACATACAAAAAATTTGCAAATTCTACGTACCATATTTCCCATGACGTGTTGCTTTTATCCTACAACCTCAGATCCTTTAAACGTAGCGCGAAAAAAACATATAGTAAACCGGCATAGTGCGGCCAATTGAAAAGAACATAGAATATTTTCTTTTAGGTTGATCGCGTTAATAGAGGATATTGTCTCTGTGTTTACTCAGGATGATGTGGTCACATATCGTGCTATTACAAAAAAAAACATCCATAGGGTTTACTTTCATACTGGTCCGATACCAATTTCGTCACGTCATATGTTACAATCGGTTCAGTGATTATGGAAAATAGCTTGACCTCGACATCTGAAGTGTACTAGAGCTTGCGCTAGTATCGAATACTAATCAATAATTTGATAGGGTCCAGAATTAATTTAATATCGATTATATAGTCGACAATAAAATAATATGATGATCATAGCAGAAAATCAGTGTTTTACTCCCTGAGTAAAATTACATACTGAGCTATGAGCCATTTTGAATTGCTGGGACACATGAATGCGGATATATTTATAAGCTAATTTTTATGTATCAACTTCTTTATAATGTTTTTTGGTGATTGTCTTGGTCCTGTTCATTTGTCCACGTATGTGCTTAAGACGGAAATATTTTATGTATCTATCTATAATACAATATAGACGATTTGAGCAATAAATTTTTAGGTTACAATCGATGAATTTATACAAAACTCATAACGACATTTATCTATTGAAGTTTAAACCTAAACTATGTAAAATTCGGACTTAACACCTTTTAATTAATAATTACTTAACTTAATTATCGTGCATTTATTTAATACGAGTGAAG